ATTATCCAACATCCCCAACCCAACAATCCCATTATGCAGCATCCCATTATCCAATACCCCATTATCCAACATCCCCATTATCCAACATCCCCACACCCCAAACCCAACGTCCCATTATCCAACACCCCATTATCCAACACCCCAAACCCAACACCCCATTATCCAGCATCCCCACACCCGATACCCCACCATCCAGCCCCCGACCCCATTCCCCCCCTCACCCGGCGGTCCGTAGGCCTCGTCCCGATACTCGTCCCACCCCACAGCCCCGTCCCCGTTGGTGTCGTATCGCTGCAGGCCCCGTTTCAGGCTCTCCTCCCTCGATCTCCTCCTGGTCCTTTCGATCCACGCCTGCAGCTCCGCCTCCGTCACCGCCGCGTCGCCGTCCGCATCGATCAGCCCCACCAGCAGCCTGGGGGGGGCGGACCCCAAAGTTTCACCCACCCCCAGATGTAGATGGAGGGACTGGGGGACGGGGGGTCTGGGGGCTCAGAGGGGTCACAACGCGTTTTGGGGTCCCACGGTGGGAGGTTTTGGGGTCCTCGGTGTCCTACAGCTGGGAGGGTTGGGGTCCCACTCCAGGACTGGGATTTGGGGTCCCCTGGAAACGGGTCTGGGGGCTCAGAGGGGTCACAACACATTTTGGGGTCCCAGGGTGGGAGGTTTTGGGGTCCTCGGTGTCCTACAGCTGGGAGGGTTGGGGTCCCACTCCAGGACTGGGATTTGGGGTCCCCAGCAAAAGGCTCTGGGGCCTCACAGGGTTCACAACACATTTTGGGATCCCTGGGTTGGGAGGTTTTGGGATCCTTGGTGTCCTATAGCTGGATGGGTTGGGGTCCCACCCCAGGACTTGGTTTTGGGGTCTCAGAAATGGGGCTGGGATCCTCAGTGTCCTACAGCTGGGAGAGTTAGGGTCCCACCCCAGGACTGGGTTTTGGGGCCCCCAGGAAACTGGTCTGGGGGCTCAGAGGGGTCACAACACGTTTTGGGGTCCCAGGGTGGGAGGTTTTGGGGTTCTTAGTCATCTATAGCTGGATGGGTTGGGGTCCCAGCCCAGGACCAGGTTTTAGGGTCTTAGAAATGGGGGTTGGGGTCCTCATTGTCCTACAGATGGAGGGGTTGGGGTCCCACCCCAGGACCAGGTTTTGGGGTCTCAGAAATGGGGCTGGGGTCCTCTGTATCCTATAACTGGGAGGGTTGGGGTCAGTTTGCCCCACCCTGAGATGTAGATGGAGGGATTTGGGGGGGGGGAAGAGGGTCTGGGGGCTCAGAGGGGTCACAACACGTTTTGGGGTCCCATGGGGTCAGGGGGTTGGGGTCTCACAAGTCCCAGATCAGGAACTCCTGGGGGTCCCAGGGTTGGGGTTTTTGGGGTCCCATGGGATCAGGGGGTTGGGGTCTCACGAGTCCCATCCTGGGGGTCTCAGGGTTGGGGTTCTGGGGTCCCACGTGGTGAAGTTCCCCCCCCACCCCCAAAGGACCTGAGGGGTCTCCTGGGGGTCCCAGGGTTGGGCTTTTTGGGGTCCCATAGGATCAGGGGGTTGGGGTCTCACGAGTCCCATCCCGGGGGTCCCAGGGTTGGGGTTTTTGGGGTCCTATAGGATCAGGGGGTTGGGGTCTCACAAATCCCATCCCGGGGGTCCCAGGGTTGGGGTTTTTGGGTGGCGAATTTCCCCGTCAAAGGACCTGAGGGGTCTTTCTGGGGGTCCGACGGTGGTTGTGGGGGTGGGGGGCTGTGGGGGGAGGGGGCTGTGGGGGGGGGGGCTGTGGGGGTCTCCGCACCCCAAACGGCGGCGGCTCTCCTCGGGCTGCAGCTGCTGGAAGGCTCGCGCCTCCTCGGGGCCCAGGAAGGCGTCGTGGTCGTAGGAGAAGCCGTGGGTGTCATCGTGGGGGACCCCCGGAAGGTCCCGGCGAGACCCCCGCTCGGGGGGGGGGGGAGGGGAGCCCCCTGCCAGGCACAGCGCGGCCAGGAACAGCCACTGCCAGCCCCCCCGCCGCATCCTGCGGGATACGGGGTGGGATATGGGGTGAAAATGGGGTGGGGTGGGGTGAAATGGGGTACAATGGGGTCAGGATGGGGTGGGATGGGATGAAAATGCGGT